TAGTTTATTTTTTGCTAATTGGTTGTGCATTGATAATGCGTAAATGCATCAGTAACTTGATGTTATAAAACGCACTATTGTGTATGATTTGATTAGTGAAGAGTAAATGCATATAAGTCGAAGTTTATCTGTTCCTTTTATCTTAAGATGGTAAAAGCGATATCATGGCCCCTCGATGATTTGGGTTGAATTATGTGCCGGGCCCCGTCAGGACTGAATTGATGTGTTCAATTAAGTTCTATGTCAGACGAATCATAGATCAGGAAACAAAATGTTGGACATTAATTATGACTATATTCCATATAATTGTCCGCACAATATCTAGAATAGAGGAGTATAAGATCCCTTATCTGAAGGACAGGTTATTGATAAGATCAGAGTTCAACAACGTCTTTAAGAGCTACGAGTGCTAATCAGATTGTATTTGCATTTATAGTTACTAGACTTATCCAACTGGGAGACTGTTGGATTTGTGTCTAAGCCCGTAACTAGATTTTGTAAGTACTTGACCCGGTTGTGCATGATCCTTTTTGGGTTGCCTTCACCAAACCAACTTGACAGGGTGATTTATGAATAGAGAGGTTATTATGGTTTATTAATATATTATGTGAATAATATATTAAAGAAGAAATCATATAGTTTAATATTAGAAAAGAATTAATTATGTGACTAAAAGACATTAATTAAATAAAGGGGATTTAAATTGTCAAATGTGTGATAGTTGAATATTGGGCTGAGGAGCCTCATGGACTAGGCATGGACGAAATTAGGGATGTATCCATCCTAATTTCGTCCATTATGGCCCATTCCAAAAGTTTCCTTGGATTGTTTAAGGCCTAAGTTGTCCATTAGGGTTTTGACGGAAACCCTAGCATCACCAGTATAAATAAGACCCCAAGGCATCCAATTTTCGGCCACTTGAAACCCTAGGAGTCTTCATAGCCGAAATTGTGCCTCTGCCCTCTCTCTAATATCATCCTCTTGCTTGTGTGGTGTTTGTAACGCCTGTGTTTCTGGGCTTGCCATTTTTAGCAATGTGATAGTCTAGGTTAACCTTTGTAACCCGTTTTGAAATAATATAAGTGTATTATTTGAGTATTATGTGTTTTGTGCTTAATTGCTTAATTATGTGGTTTGACTAATTAAGAATAAAAACAAGCGTCAAAGTTTAAGTGTAAAATAAACTTGATATCTTTAGATAATGTTGTAGTAGTTGAAACAAGGTTTCCGAGGATATAAAGAATGCCGAAATCCGAGTTATAACGAAGAAGTTATGACCTGTCGAAGTTTCGCGACAGAACCGGCACCGCTGAATAACGTAAAAAGTGAAATTTACGTTAGAGCGATATTTAACCTTAGTGATCTAAACGAGAATCGAAGATCTCGTTGTTAGTATCAAAGCGATAAAAAGTTAGGCGAGAACGGACGTCAAACGAAGAAGTTATGAATTTATAACGAAATTTTCTATCCCCGCCTATTAAAAATAAATAATAAAAATAAAGTCAAAATTAGCCGATGGAGTCTAAACGAAATTTGTAGAGCGTAGTCTCACCTTCGCGTGGATATAAAGAACGTCGAAAACGGAGTTCGTACTGAAGAAGATATGAATTTCCGAAGTTTATTAAATTATTTGTATTTAATTTTAATTGGAAAATCCGGCCTTATCCGAAGGCGAGTCACCGGACTCATCCGGAGTACGCCCCGCGTACTCGTGTACGCGTACAGCGAAGATGTCGACATTCGCACTCGAGGACTTCGGATGACGAACGCAGTGACGATTTCGGACCAGTACGCCCCGCGTACTCCGAGGCATCAGCCTCCTATAAATAGGATGCGAGGGCAGCCAGCTTCTTTGCTATTTTTCTCCATTCTCTCTCCCGTTTTGCCTCGATTTGCGTGCCAGAAATACCCCGAAGCCCCGGTAATATTCCCGAGTCCCGAAGTAAGTCCCGATATCCCGAAGATCCCGAGAAGTGCGGTTTCCGAGCCGAAGCTCTGCCTGCGAGAAGTTCGATTTTTGTAGAGATCTTCCAGATCTGCTGAGGATTACTACTTTTGCAAGTCGTAGTGTTGTCCGATCATCTTCTGATCAAGTGAGTGTATACTACCTTTCATAAATGCAATAATAATACAAGTATAGTTTGAGTGTATTAAGTATATTGTGGTTTATTCGTGTGAGTGCGTTGTTACTTTCTCCTAACGTATAATTATGAAGTATTTTATACGAGATACGTGTTGTGTGTATATTTTGTTGTTATGTGTGTGAATGTATATTCACTTTCTTCTATCTTACAGATCTGATTATTTCTATATGAAATACGTGTTATGTGTGTGTACCTCATCTGTTATATGGAAAATGTATTGATCAAGCATGCTATACAGGTTTTGAAAATATGTATAAAAATGTATGTTTTTATCTACTAATATGTTGGGTAGAACATGGGTAGATAGTTGGTGTGTAATAAACAGATGAGAGGCCTCGTTGTTGTTTTGATCCAGTCATCTAGCGGAATTTAGATGATGACCACGGACTTTTCTAGACAGTCCAGTGGAACGCTAGCAGGCTCATAACCTGTAGGTGTTAATGAACTTGGGTGTTCATTCACTGTATTCCATCCCCTTCATGGTTGCCTTATTTGACTTATATTGCTGAGGAACCCCCGCAGCATGTGTTGTCACCCCGATGAAAATATTCTTAGATTAGGTCCCTTGTGTTAGTTATTTTAGGGACGTAAAGTGAGAATAATGGGAATGGGTAACTAGGTTATTGTTGGTTGATAATAATTAATTTAATTATTTATTGTGGGTTGAAAACCCTATATGCTCACCAGGCTCCCAAGCCTGACCCACTCAGTTTTATTTGTATTACAGGAAGTGGCGCAAGGGCGTAAGATGGATGAACCATCAAGTTGTTTTGTTTACAAGTCTGTATATGTAAATATTTGTTGAATGACTTGTAATGTTATCGTTTATGCTTATTGGTCTATATCAGAATATGACACCCCGAGTTTTGATTATATAATGAAAAATACATTTCTTTTATGAAATGCTTTGGTAAACATTGTTTTATCATGTTTTGTTTTTGGGAATAAATTCCGCAACTCTTTCAAATCAAAAGGATTTACTCTGAATTTATTTTAAAAGGATAAATGAAAATCGGTCTTTTCTGGCCGAGATTTTGGGGATGTCACAATGTTTGTAAGCCATTAGAGGAGTGACATTTATGACTCTAAGCTCCAAGACAAGAAGATTCAAGCCATAGTTGAAGAGGTAATCATCTAGATCTATTTTCTTATGACAATTTTGAAATATGTATGCTAGATCTAGGGTTCATAAGTCTTGGATGAATTGCATGTACAATAGAGAAACCTAGATCTATGCTTTAGGGTTTGCATGAGCACATAAGATGTTATTTTGTGTAAAACCCATCAAAGTTTCCTTAAATAGGTCCCAAACCTAGAGATTTAGGCTTTCATCTCGCAGCGCCTACTCGGCGAGTCAGCTCTCTAACTCATTGAGTCAGTATTTAGACCCACGTGATCAATCAGTCTCTACTCGATGAGTTGGGGAACCAACTCGTCGAGTTGCTCAATAGCTCTCAAAATAAATAAATAATATACCTTGGAGTCTGGATGTGACAATAAAAGTAATTTTATGCATCTAAATGACGGACCACACAAAACTCAAACATAAGAACAAAGTGCATAGTGTCTTAGATGTACTTAGTCAGTCTATTTTGACAAGCCAAAGGGACTAATTGCATAATTTTGTAATTTTTTTTATTACTTTACACTAGAAATTTTGTTTTCGTAGTTCATCAATGTATATGGTTGTAAACCGATCCTAATTTTGTTAACATGTACGAGGGTTAGGACCAATCCAATACATCAAACACCTTAAACACGAAAATACAACCCTTTAAATCCATAAGGTATATATGGCACGATGAGGTCTTGGCCAAGTGGCATGGATGCCATGATCGTGCACACTACCTTGGGGATGGCGTTGTGCTTACATGGCATCACGGTCCTTGTGAGCTATAGTCCATACCACATTATGCCATGTCATGCATTCTCTTTATTTCTCTCTTGCTTCTCCCTCCTCTCCTCTCTCAGTGGTTGCATTGAGAGTGCCCCAAAGCGGGTGTGGTGCTTTCCTCTTGCTTATTTGCAAGAAAACTCACGTCAGGAGTGTGGATAGTATTCTTGATGGCCTAATATTTAATATTGAAGTCTAATTTAAATATTTGATATCAATGATTGTTGCATAATAACATATCTACTATAAGAGCATTAAACATCATAAATATGCATTATATACTTATAGATATAGATAAAGTAATATTAAGGTATTTCACACGATAAATAATAACAACGAAAAGAACTGTTTTGGGAATAGACCATAACAACCCAATAAGGAAACTTAGCTATACACGGAAAGACATTTCCTTAGAACGTTATTCATCACATTAAACACCTAAAACACAAAACACAATCCCTCTAATTAAGCTCTAATTCAAATAATTCAATACTACTAAAAGTCCCAAATAATCTATCTACTAGTAAAAAATTTGTGGCACCACTCAACTTGCCACTTTTAGCAACAACCAAATGTAGCCACACCTTTCTTTAATTTTTGGGCCACCAAGCTTTCCACTTTACTTTTCTTTTTTACCATCACTTTGTTGGGTCACATCGTTGTCTCCGTACGTATCCTTTTAAACATGTTTCTCTAGAAGCAACGGTTTCTCATATATGGAATGATAGCAACAAACTTATACTAATCCAATATAAAATCGAGAAAGTAGACAATACAAACAAATTCTAAACAACTTTATACCGTATTCAAGTTTATATCATATGTTTTCTTAGAGAAATCTAAGCGTCTTTGGCCTAATAGTATCAAGCCTCATACTGTCAATACCTTACTCGTTCAGCTCAACCTGATGATAATGTATTCAATACGCAGCATATTATTCAGAAAAAATCGCACACAACAAACACCATAAATATGCATTTTATATTAATCGATAAAGTACTAATAATATTAGGGTATTTGAGTCGATGAATAATAACACTTGATAAAGAAGTGTTGTGGCACAGATCATAAAACCCGTTACACTGTGCACAAAACTACACTTCCTTAAACGCTATTCATCACATCAAACACCTAAAAACACGAATTAAAACACAATCCCTCTAATAGTCTATTATTACAAAAGTCTAAACCAAATTTTCAACACTGCTAAATATCGCAGTATAATCTACGTACCTACTATAAGGTAAGCATCAAACACCATAAATTAATATGCATTATTTTATGTTCAAACTTGTGTCGATTTCTTCACAACCGGTGTTCTTTTCTTCCAAAACTTCAACTGAAAAACCCGTTCCTCAAGCATCTTTTCCACATCCTCAATGGGTAAACCTTTAGTTTCAGGCACGAAAATGATGACAAAAAGCAATGCTATGACTGATATAACCCCAAACCCTAGAAAAGTCCATGAAGTTCCTATGGCTTCAGTTAACGATAAGAATGATTGAGCAACGATAAGATTTGAAATCCAGTTTGATGTAGCAGCGATTCCACCACAAACACCTCGGAATCTTAATGGGTATATCTCGGAATTGACAATCCATGGAACTGTTCCCATGCCCGGTGAGAAGAAGATGATGTAAAGAGCTAAACCTACCAGTGCGAGCCATCCGTATTGACTCGGGCATCCTCGAGTGTACCATAATCGGCCTTCACCATGACACGTGTCCTTCACGATTTTGTTCTCGATTAAACATGCACCGGGTAGTAGCTGTGAGAAAAAAGAACGTAGTTTTTGAAGGTCAAATGGTTTAGATTTTGAACTCGATGATGATATAATTTGATACGTTTTAGGGTAAATTTAACTTCGAAATGATTATAGTTTTGTTCCTCAAAAGATTGAATGATTCGTTATGGAGTTAAAGATTAGTTAGTTTGACTAAAAAAGTCAATAATAAGTATGGTTTTTACCTTATCAGTTTGTGAAGCACAGAATCCACAATCAGAACCCTTTAAGCATTTCATACAGCTCCAGGAAGCAGAAGGTCCGGCGGAAGTGAAAGCCGGGCAGGTGATGTTACCGAAGTGGGAGGACTCCACCGCGCTAACAGGCGGCGAATGTGATGTCGTCTCATGAAACACGGCGGAAAGAAGCCCTAACGAGAGCACACAACCGATCAAACTGATCACCAACAGCTTCTTTCTCCCAATCCGATCAATGAAATAAATGCTGACAACTGAACCCAAGGCGTTGAGCCCAGCTGTCACCAGTGAGAGGAGGAGGGCGGTCTGGTTTGATGCAATTCCAGCTAATTGAATGATGGTCGGACTGTAGTACATCACGGTGTTGATTCCGACGAACTGTTGGAAAACCTGAAGCCCAACTCCGGCGATTAGACCCCTTCTTACTGTCCTTGTTTTTAGTAATTGTATCATGTTGATCTTCTCCGACGACCCTGTTTCCTCAATCTCCTTTTCCACCGATTCCTTGAGAGCTTCGATCTCCGCTTCAACATCACTCGCCGGATATATCTTTCTTAGTATCGTTATCGCCTCTTCTTCTCTACCCTGTCACAATCAATACATACACAGTGATATATATATATATATATATAAAATGGTTTCTCCATATGTTTTTTTCTCTTTTATTTTAACATTTATCATTTTCTAGATTTTTTAAATTATTTAATATCCACTTGTTATTTTTATAATTTTTTTTTATTCGAATCTTACATATTAAAAGCTACCTCATACTAATTAATTTTATAAATATATTAATTAATGTACATAATAAATTTCTATTTTTGAATTTCTCTTTCTGTTAATATATTAAATAATATATATGTATATTAATGTAGATATTACATTTCTTTTGTAAATTTATATTAATTAATTTTATTAGTATACACTTAATTTAAACCAAATTACATAAATAGTCCATACGGTTTACCAAAAGGTCAAAAACTCAATCGTTAATTATTTTTTTTAATGAACATGGTCTGTATGGTTTCCAAAACTTTTTTTTTTAATAAACCCGTGTAATACACTCGAATTTTTTAAATAGATGAAATTTCTAGATCTGTCACTAATAAAAAAAATTGTACCTTGCGGTAAAGCCAACGAGGGGACTCAGGGAGAGCGAGCATGAGAACGAACTGCAAGAGGGCGGGGAGTCCGGCAACTCCAAGCATCCAACGCCATGTTCCCGGTGCCTAAATAATGAGAATAAATATTATGTTTTTTAATCATTGTATTTGCTGAAATGAAAATAATAAATATTGTGTTTTTTAATAATTGTATTTGGTAAAATGAAAAGAAAAAAGAAAAGAAAAAAAAGGTAACGACAAAACATGTGATACTTAACGACTTTAGGGAATTCATGATTGCTATTTGGCAGGGGAATACATGCATAACGAGCCAAAGATGTTGGGTTTTTTTGAATAAATATTTTATACAGAAAAGATTTTATTAGACAAAACGAAATGAATTTAGGCAATATAAGGACTGTTTATAGGAGATGAATTACTGAAAATACACTTTAAATGCGGTAATTTTGAAATGACTAAAAATATCCCTTAAATTTAGTTATATTGTTCTAAAGAGCACACTAGACCAAGTGATTTTAAGAACTTTTTTAGTTTTACGTGATTAAAATAAGTGAAATTAACAAAATACCTCTGAAATATACAGCATAATTAAAGAGACTTTACATGATGGGTGCATTGAAAATATATACACATATACATGTATATGTGGTGTAGGATTGATTGCGTGGGGCACATTGCAAATGAGGCCATGGTAGATTGTTTCCACAAGATGGGGAAAAGATATATGGTGGGGTGTGGGGGCATTATATCCTTTTTCACATGCTTACTTAATCACCAAATATAAAAGAGGTTCTTTGAAGCAATCATTGAAGTCGGTTGTGTATACAGGAAAGAAAACTTTAACTACCCAAAATTCTTTAATAATCTGTTTTAACTTTAACTTATTATTAGTTTTATATAATAAAGTGAACTTTTTTTTATCAATGCTTATATGTATAAATTATCATGAATGCAAATATCATATCATATTGAAATTAATAAATCATTTTTGTTAACATATACATATGAAAAAAGTTATTAGATAGTTAAAGCCATTGTTTTCTTTTGGTTTCATTTTAGAAAAAGTATCAATTATTTAACATAAGTATATGTTTTAACTAAATTACATGTCACATCAAACAAGCAAACAACAATAATGTAATGTATATTGTTTTGCCTAACCTTAGTGAAGGCTAAATTGATTAGGTAAGATAGAAACTGGCCTCCGGTGATCAAGAACCCATTCGTGCTGACCAAAGCACCTCTGACTTTCGCAGGAGACGCCTCAGATATGTACAACGGAGCAGTCATTGAAGCCATTCCAACTCCCAGTCCAACAAAAGATACGGCCCACAATCAGAACACTGGGGTTGGGTGCAGCCGCCATAAGGATCGCACCAATAAAGAAAAGGAAATCCGCAACTAACAGTGCGAATTTCCGTCCATAACGGTCATTTAACCATCCTCCCATCGCCGCTCCGACAATTGCTCCGGCAAGCGCCATGCTCACTATACTCTCCTATTGAAACCATCATTTAAAAAAAAAAAAAAAAAAAAAAAAAAAAGTGAGTTTTGTATCATATGTTAAAAATAATAAAATTATTATTAATTTCCTAATGTTAACCCTATAGTCAAATCAACTTGGCATAATAACTTCATAAGTCAAGATAAGACTACTAGACTAGCTAGTGATAATTTAAATGTAAACAACAAATTCAGATATATCTTAAATAAAAGGAAGGGGTAAAGTGGTCCATCTGAGATTTGACTGGCTTGGTTTCAATACATAAAGTTCCAAGTGAAGACTTTGACCTTTCGAGTGAAAACGAAGCGACTAGAACCCACTTCAAAATTGGTAGGTCATACGTGCTTCTGGTTGGTTTTTTCCCATCTCACCCTTACCAAGTCTCAATCATTGGGTATGGTCATAGGTTAATTTGTCATTTTACATTATTGTGTATAATTTTTTAAAAATAAATCATTGTCATTTTACACGACATTTTTTTTTTAATCTTTAAAAGGGTAATTTTGTCATTTTATGAGTTCTAATTTTATTTTCATTAAAACATAACAATTATTAGTTTCCTAACTTGTAAAATATTATGGTTAGTTATTTTATGATTCTCTTTATCACTTGAAGTGTCGAATTTGGACTCTTTTATAGAAAATATTCAAAGAATCAATAAATTAATGTAAGTTTGAAAACGATATCATCCGGTTTTTCTTGAAGCAAAATTGTCATGTCCACATAAATCCAGAATATTAAAATACTAAAAAGATAACTAACGATATCGTAAAATATAATTTTTAAGTAGAATTGTATTAACTATTTTATCTTTTTAGGATCCAAACTAATAAAACAAGGAGAAAAAACTTTTCTAGTTTTAACTTAGGATCAATAAAGATAATATAAATTTAATTATTAGAGAATATATGTGAATCCCATGAAAAACGCGATTGGTGCAACAGAACAACAAAAACGTCGTGCATATCCTTTTCACTAAATAATTAAAATTGACATATTTTATTTACCTTTTAACATCAAAATAAATACTTTGATATAAGTTATTTCCAAATATTAAATTGATTTCAGTATATTTATTCACCACAATAATACATCCACTTAGTATTCTTCATTTGATTAAACATATAATTTAGTAAATAAATTTTTCATTCCAAAAAAAAACTTATATATTAGAAATGGAAATGAAATATTTACTATATTTAAAAATCAACAGAACCAATTAAAGTAAAAAAAAAATAATAATAATAATAACTGATTAAACCTGAATATCAGGTCTAGACGTGTAACTGTTTTATTGGTATGTCAATTACCTAAATGAACCATCGAAAAATACCATAATTAAATGTTATTTATTAAAATAAATGATTTTATAATATAATTATTAAACATTAAATGTATAATTTAAGTTGACTATTTGACCATCTTGGATTATGTGTAATCGTAACAACCCATAGGGTTAGGCAAAATGGCGGACTCACCTGTAAAACAGTCTTCTTATCGACAGACTTGAAGTCATCCCTGATGTAAAGAAGCGCACCAGATATCACTCCTACACAATCACACCTCCAACACTATCAACCACAAGATCGACAAAGAAATGAAGTAAGATACAAAAAATATAGAGAGAGGGAGTGATTACCTGTATCATAACCAAACAGAAGTCCACCAATACCCGCAGAGAAAGCAAGACGAAGAACGTAAGGGTTCTTCCATGCCAACGAAAAACACTCGCGGAACGCAGATGAGTCCGCCGGATGTATCCCTCCTTCCATTGTGGCAACTGATGATATACAATTCGATATGCGTAACGTACAACTGGACTTGCGAAAGGTATAAGAGGTTATGCGAGAAGTACTCCCTTTGGTTTAAGCTTGCGCACCAGAGAGGAAGAGGAGACCGATAAGAACGAGACGAGTTACAGAAAATGGGAGGCCAATGGGTGTATTTATAGACAATATATGCTAAAAACGTAATATACATATATATATATATATATATATATATATATATATATATATATATATATATATATATATATATATATATATATATATATATATAATCAAAAAAGAATCATATAAAGAACCTTATTAAAGTGTGAATACTAAATACTCATTAAATATATTAAAGTTTTGAATTAGTTATTTTTTTTGTTAAAAGAATAAATATTTGTGATTTTTATGATCTAATATTTTTATTCGTAAAAATTAGTAAAAGTTTTATAAAAATGAAAAATAATCATTTACAATTTAATATAATTATTTAGAATTTAGTACATAAAATTCACAAATTAATACAGTTAATTATACATTAATTCATAACTTCATAGAAGTTAGACTCAAATTATACAACCATCACTCCCAACTACCACATACCATCACTACCAACAATTGGTGTCCCCATCCCCGATATCATTCCTTCTAAAACTCATATATGAATAGAGAAATCAATATTCAACAAAATTTTAAACATTAATTTATAGCTTAATTCGATATTTTAGACACTCATTCCCAACTTAATGTAAAAAAAAAAAAAAAAAAAAAAATCACTTTACTAACTTATACATCAACAATTTAATACATAAAAAAATAAACATATATTTACAACTTAATAACTTTAACGAATTATGTTGATACATTTTCATCAAATTGAAATAGCCTAAACTACACATAATAGACAATTTGGTTGTGTATTGTCAAACACAACGGAAACCCGTGGAAACATTCGTGTGTCAGACATGCGATGCTCATATTGAAGAAAACCTTATTCAACTATTTTCTTATTAATCAGTCAAAAGCATAAAATTACATAAGACATGAATATATATATATATATATATATATATATATATATATATATATATATATATATATATATATATATATATATCAGTCAAAATATATCAGTCAAAAGCATAAAATTACATAAGACATATATATATATATATATATATATATATATATGTATATATATATATATATATATACAGAGAGAGAGAGAGAGAGAGAGAGAGAGAGAGAGAGAGAGAGAGAGAGAGAGAGAGAGAGAGAGAGAGAGAGAGAGAGAGAGAGAGAGAGAGAGAGAGATTAAAAATATAAACCTATTAGGACTCTAAAACTTATAATTTAGGAATGTAAATACTGGAAATAAGTTAAGAAAAGACTCCATTTAAATAAAGATAATTTGCTTGTACTTTACTCCTTTCTTTTCTCAGCATTAGTATTAATTGGATCCCCATTATTCTCCCCATCTTGAAAAAAACTCGTCCTCGAGTGTGGGATAAGGGCTCAACTAGTTTAAATTCTGTCAAATCCGCAACATTGAAGGTGGAATAGAGAGGTTATCAGGGAGGTCGACAAGATAAGCATTATTATTAATCTTCCTTTAGATTTTGCAAGGTCCAATCTTCTTCATGTTCAATTTGTTATAAGTACCTACCGGGAACTTTTCATTCCATAAATAGATCATCACATGATCACCCACATTAAGAAGCTTTTACCGACAACTTTTGTCTCGTCCATATTTGTAGTTGGCATTAGAGGCAGTCAAATGATTCGTAACTTCAAGTTGGACTTCCTCGATCTATTTAGCGAGATGTTCAGTTGTGACACTATGACACAATAGTTTTGGAAGAGCAATAAGATCAACGGCATGTTTGTGCTGGCACTAGTAAAGGGTTTGGAAATAGGTTTTACTAGTGGATCTATTTAGCATATTGTTAAATGCAAACTCGGATGGAGCTAAAAGTTGATCCCATTGTTTAGGCCTATCTCCACAAAGACTCCTAATCAAATCACCAAGAATTTTATTAACAACTTTCATTTGGTTGTTTGTTTGTTGATGAAAATAAGTCTTATACTGTAGTGTTGTCTGAAATAAAAGTCATAAGGTCCGCCAAAAGTGAATAAAAAATTAGTTTCTCGATCAGAAGTAATCGTGGAAGGAATACAATGGAGACACTTCACGAAAAAATGACGTAACTGTATTAGAAGCATTGTCTGTCTTTTTATAGGGGATAACATGTGCCATTTTTGAAAATTGAGCAACCACGACAAAGACGAAATTGTTACCCCTAGCTGTCTTAGGTAATCCAAGAACAAAATCCATGGAAATGTCTTCCCATAGGACATCAGGAATGGGAAGTGGTGTGTACAAATCGGTATTTCTGAGCATGACCCCTAGCAATATAACATACAAGAAATTTAGCCACATATATTCCAACGTCACACCTTAATTAAGGCAAACAATACCGCTCCTCGAGTAAATCAAATGTCTTGTCACGTCTAAAATATCCACTTAAACCTCATCCATGTAACTCCTTGATAACCTCTTCTAGTAACGAAGTGTAGGGAATACATAAATGATTATTATAAAAGATATAACCATCCAATTTAAGCATTGGTGGTGTGATTGGGTTTTCCCAAATTTGTTTGAAATCCTTATCATCCATATATAATTCTTTCAAAATGGTCAAACTTGATAATACTAGATTTTAAAGTGACTAACAATTCATCACTCATACTTAAAGCATCCGCTACCTTATTTTGTTCACCAGACTTATGTTTCAATACAAAAGAGAAACGTTGTAGATAAGAAATCCGTCTTCCATGCATACAATTGATCTTAAACTGGTTGTTGAAATATTGTAGAGCTTGATGATTAGTATATAGGACAAACTTTTTATGAAATAAATAATTTCCCAATGCTGGATAGACCGATAAATGACATAAAATTTGAGTTTATACATCGTCCATTTATGTTGTGCCTCACTAAGATTTTCACTAAAGAAAGCAATTGGTTTATTATCTTGGGATAAAACCACCCCAATACCAATGATGGATGCATCACATTCGAGCGTAAAGAGTTTGTTGAAATTAGGTAAGACCAACAAAGGTGTGGTTGTTAATTTATGTTTAATCTTCTCAAAACTTTTATTTGCCTCTTCCTCCCCCCCCCCCCCCCCACCCCATGGAAAATGTCCTTTGTTTGTGCACTAGGTGATAGGTAGCATGATAGCACTAAGATTACGGACAAAACAAAAATAAAAGGTAGCAAGTCCATGAAAACTTCGAACAACACTAATAGTTTAAAGCACATGCCGATCACGAATAGCCCTTATAGTTATGAATAAAATCCTTTTAGATCGATTAGACTCTAACAAGTATAGTATAAGCACAATATGAAAACAAGAACATGAGATGTATCAATAGGTGTCAAATGATTAAAAGGCACAACCTCAGAAGAACTCTATGAAGCATTGCTATTGTAGAGGCATGCTAGGGTTACAAGAATATATCAATCGACAATTGTCTAAAATAAATGCATGCATGCATCATATATACTCTAACCCTAATATTAAATACGGTTGGGCAGACCCAAACCGTTTACAAAAGGGACTAAAACAAGGCCCAATGACGCAACACATAAATACTCAACAATCTCCCCATTTGCGTCAATTGAGTCATAGCCCATCATCCAGTAATCCGCTTCTACACTTCGTAAATTTTAGGAATAAAGCTCACAACATCTTGAGAACATTGATGTACCAAAAAAGCATATCCGAAAAGTACTTGACATCGTCCTTGTGGTTGCCCTTAAACTTGGTGATCAGGTCTAATATAGATTCCAGACAGGCTGTGTTGTAGAGATGTTTGTCTTCGAGAGAGAAGTATGAATTGCAAAAGTCAGCTCCTGTTCGTTCTTTGGACTGATACACCACGAACCATCCTTCATTGTATATATTCCATGGCTTTAACTTCTCTAAGTCTTTTAGAGCTTTCTTGGGAACAGTCGTTGGCTTCTTCTTCAAAACGGTGGCAATATCCACATCCATCGAACCAACCTCTTAAATATATGACTTGATCATAAGTTGGAGATGGGACATCACAGGCTCGTACTTATCTTTTTCTCACAGCAACATGTTGTATAGAACGATCCAATTATTAGGATTCAAGCAAGGCAAGTCTGCGAGAGTGAATTCATAGGCTTGACAAGTTGATCCTCTCGCAACCTTAAACTTCGCATTCGGGAAGCTTTCAGTCTCGATTGGCCCAGTGACCTTCACAACAATGATTTTATGCGCACTCCAAGTTTTGTACTGGGGCTTCATGTGCTTTAAGTAAACAGAGAACAACAGCTGATCAGCATTGCTGTTTGGGAAAGGAGCATTCGCCACCTTCACATAAGCACGGAACCTAAATGCTTTTGGTGTGATTGGAAGATCAAGTTGCGAATCTTGAGTATTTTGACGATCAAAAGACGCAACAAGATCTAACCAATATTGGCTGGGTAGCTCCACAACATCATGATGAATTTTCTTCAAGGTCCACTTCGGAAATAATAACATTATGCTCTTGAGAGTGGCCTGAGCTTCCCTTTTGCTCTTTCCTTCTCTTCTGCCTCTTTGACGATTCGCTTAGTTTCATTAAGTTCAGCATCGTGAGCCTTCCACTTTTTAAGCTCAGCTTAATCTTCATCGTCATCAATGATAGGCTCTTCTTCAATTAACTTTTCCTTGCCCTTAGGTTCGTTCTTGATAATGGGCTTGGCAAGGACTTTTTGAGGTTGAACTTTAGATGCACCTTCTCCCCCTTGTTTTTGTTCAGATGACTGAGGAGAAACACCCAGTAGGCGATATAACATTGCGAAGACAAGTCTTAACTTCTCAACAAGATGTTTGTGAACCGTAATGGAAATCATTAAGTCCCTGGTCTCAATGATATCGGAGAGCAAAATGGTAAGATCGATAATGCAAGTTCGCAGTACCGCCCTCTCTGATAACAAATCCTTGACTCTTTTCTCAGACTGTTGAAGTTTATTATCTAACACCTTGACCTTTTATATCTTCCTCGCTAGGGCATCCATAATCTTACTTTCCATCACCAAATCCTCCTGAAACTTTGTAATCTGCGAAGAAAGGGATGTTTGGAACAATGCATGGTCTTGCTGCAGCCAAGTGCGAATCTTCTCTAGATTGACCTTCTCAGTCTTGAATATTGCCCCAAGTTCTGAAGGGATTCATTCTCAGAGGCGGTATTGTTGTTGTAGGTTGTTCTATAATTCTCCATGAAAGTAGTTGTTTCAGAGATTAGTTTATCGACTTTTTTGGTCGCTGATTTGCAGACTTCAACAGATTCAAAAAGCGATGCATTCATCTTTTTAGCATTTTCTTCATGCTCCTTTATTCTCCCAAATAATGATTCAACCGTTGCTTTTAAATATACATCAGAAGGGGAAGCCTTGGAGGCTAGCAACAGTTGATCAAGCTTCTCATGAATAGCTTTCAACTGACCTTTCGAAATTGAGGCTTCATCTTCATTTTCGGTCGTGATCTGGAATGGATTATAGGTGAATCCGCCTAGATCATATTCATCACCATCTTCAGTAAATATCATTTCCAGATCATCATTACGAATAGGAGAAATGGATGAGGAAACAGGGGTAGCGAACACTGAAGTTGTATCCCCCGTATCAGATACGTTGATCGAAACCTCAGGAATCATTGAAGTGATGGGATTAGTAGTTGAAGCGGTTAAGATTGGTGTTGAGATGGGAACCTTAGTAGGTTGAGATGAGATAATAGGGGGTAGACAAGGAGCAATAGTAATGGGAATGGAGGTTGATTTTGGAGAAGGATGGGGAGAAGGAACTAATTCACGAATAGATTGATGTACCTCTCGGTTCGTAGTATCTTCTTCATTGTGAACTGGAGATTCTTTATTCTGAACTGTCTCTGCCTCTTCATTATAAACCGAGATTTCCTCCTCATTGAAAATAGATTGAGCTGTTTCAACATGAACATCTGACTCAGTCTCAGAATCTGACTCTTTGTTTTCTGAGGGAGTAGACGTCTTCCGTTTGCGAGCCGGTTGTTTTCTTCTCTTTGGAACAGCCGTAGAGGATGCTGCGGGTGACTTTTGCTTTTTAGGCGAAGGTTTTGTAGCACCAGAAAGACCTTCAGCCTTCTTAACCTCTTTCTTTGACTCCTTTCCTCCTTTCTTCGGTTTATCAGCGGTATCAAGAATTGCCTGCATTTCTGGAGTAAGAGGCCTAAACCCCGAGGGTGTAAGTTTGTGAAATCCTTCCAAGAGTTTACTTGAAGCAGGAACAACCTGAAACATGACTTCAGGGATAGATCTAATGAATGGGAATTTTAATGGACCGACAACAATAATCCCTTTTATATGAAGGGTGGAAACAGTAAAGGCTAGGGCATCCTGCATCAGGGGAATGTTGTGCTTAATAATGACCATGCGAACTATCAGAGACCAAAACCTTGCACAAGAAATCTCCGTATGACGAGACGTGGAGACAGTGCTTTGAATCACTTGAGCCCATAAAACGACTCCATAATCGATGTTCATTCCTATGTAGAGTCCATGGATAAGGGTCATGAATAACTTACTTGCACAGTCGGATCCTATAATTCTTTCAGAAAAGCTTTTGAACAAGATCGTAAATAAAGCATTCCATTGAGAAGGAAGGTTGGGCTTGCATAATTTAGAGAGTGTAGACAAAGACTCCTTGTATCACATTTGATAAAACATCTCCAAGAGAGCAGCACTGGAGATTGTTTCAGGATTAATCATATCCTCTGACTGTGGAAGCCCTAGAAGAGAATAGAATCTGGTTTTGGTGGTAGAGGTTTTCTGATCGTGAATGTCAAATACAATCTTATTCTCCACACTGATGTAGCTTGCAGAAGAATATGCCCTTTAAAGAAGAGACATTGGAACATCCTCCATTTTGGTTAGGGCATGCACTCATGGTGAATACTTGAGACACTTGATCATGTATAGAAGATATGACTCATATTTTCAAGGATTCAGATCGATCAGAAGATTCCGATTAGGTTTGACCGCTAGCAGAGAAGAATGAACGATTTGATCTTAAACTGATGATGAAGTCTCCATTGTTGAAGGTTTGAGGAAGACGATAAACAGTAGAGAGTAGTTTGTTTGCCGGATATCTTTATAGAAGATTTTGAAAGTGATAATGAGAGAGGAACCTTCAAAACCTTTATATAGTATTCAATTTTGGAGGAGAATTCGGAGAGAGAAAGCATCGGGTACTAAAACGTTGCCCGAAAAAGCGCGACTTGAAAACTGTAGATGTCAGACCCATGCATCATACGGCAGAATAACAGTTGGCCGTTTTAAATTCTACACGCGCCCTTTTGAATTCTTATTATCAGAATTTGCCGCATCATCATCCATCTTTCGCAGTTAAATATTCGTTGTGTAACTCTTACGAATCTTCACCTTTTTGAAAAGAAGGTTAAACTGCGAACCTGAAATAATATTGCATAGAACGATGAATAAGACTTTTGGAAGATCATGAGGATCTTCATGCAAGAGTTTCAAAGATAAAGGAATAAATCAAGAATTTCTAGGAAAGTGTGTGATGTCTACATAATGACACAAAACAGTTAATCCCGGGAAAAGATTGCTTCCTTCAAAGTCAAGAAAGACTAAGAAGTCTCTGTGTGGTTTCCCATTAAAATACGATCAGATGTCTTATAAGAAACACTGAAAGGCTTCTTTTATTTTGGCTAATTGGGTGGCTAACTCTCCAACCTAGACAACGAACTTGATATAAGAACGAATTTTGGATGGAGTACTCGTGTGACCAGTATAGTGAATTAAATGAGTAAGTTTGTAGTTATAGTGGTGACAGGATAAAACTTTGAAATCTCAAACAAAATTAAAACTGGATCCTTTGGGAAGAAGTACGTGATTTGGTAATAGAACACTTCATAAAGATCATGCAAAAGGAATGAGATTTCGAGGTACAAACCATGGAAGTGGTGTTCGTTAATTCGTGGGTGAAAAGCTATAACTTTCAATGGTTCATCGTCAATTCATTATGGTGTTGGATTTTGGGTCTCACTTAGCACGTGGTGAAATGAAACTAAGATCTTCAACACAGATGTTGTTCAACCATAAACCTCAGTGGTAAATGCTGAGAATCTCGAGGGTTACATTAATTAAATTAATGGAGAAATTAGGAGGTGGTTCCTGAGAAAGCGAATGTACCTCTGCTGAACAAGTGTGACCAAGCAGATAACTCATAATTCAATGTGAGAAGAGTAAGGTAGCTCATGACCAATGTGAATTTAGCAGCCTGATTGGGAAGAAACGAATGGTAGATTCGATTCATTAAGGCTTCACGTAGAGTCGATAGAGGGTTTGGACAACATGCAACAACATGCTTCTAGGGACACTTAATTAATACAAAGGAAAAGAATTTTTTACCTGCTCCAGTTCACGAATCACGAACATGCTCCTTGAGTTTTATGGTTTTCTAATGTTTTAGGAATTTTATGACATTAGAAACATATAAGAACAATGATGTAACGACGTAAATTTTAAAACCAATTTTTCATTTTTGCAAACATCAAAAACATCGATTAATATTTCAAATCCAAACGTAAACAATTTTGTCACAACCGAATACATCACAAAGATCATAAAAATAGTTTTTCCCCGATAATGTGTACGATCACGCCGGCGCCTTCCCAAGGTCCTCGCTAGTACCTGAAACACGTAACACAACAACTGTAAGCATAATTGCTTAGTTAGTTCCCCAAAATACAACCTACGCACATACGCCTTTCCAGGCCCCTGGCCTTCCGGTCCATGTGTTTCAGGGGACTTCCGTCCCGACTTGGTAAACCTTCCGGTCCTACCCACATCAACCTTACGGTTCATATTACAACGCCTTCCGGCCCATAACATATTCGCCTTCCGGCCCATAACATAATGCCTTCCGGCCAATATCAAGCATATCATACATGGCACATATAACGATTAACTTATCACACATAATGCATATATTTCATATCATATTCGACCTTCCGGTCACACAGTCAAACCCTTCCGGGTATAGTATAGTGAGAAGACTCACCTCGTGGGAAGTCTAAGATCTCGTGTCCTCGCTGTCACCGAATCCAATGACGGCTCAACCTCGCCTAAGCATAAAAATATCATTTAATACACGAAGACTTCAACTACTAAAACTTTACCCCTAATCATCCTTCCTGAAAGGGTAAAAGACCATTTTACCCTTCCTTGACCTAAAGTCCTCATGTTGACCAAAACCCTAAAAGTCAACAAAAGTCAACCATGAGAGTACGCGGGGCATACCGCTAGATGTACGCAGGGCGTACATCGCCAACTCCCATCGGATGGGGGTCTCCACCCAGTACGCGGCGTGCACTGGAAGTTACGCCCTGCTTAACCACCAGAATCAGCCACCCTCCATTTCTGGTCTTAATCAGTTAAGTCATTAATCCAACTTCCAGATCCGAATCCTTTAGTGTGTCTAAACCCATAAAGTCGAGACCTTTAAGCCTTGGCATGGCTGTAAAGGCTCCAACATCACATAACAACCTTTTATTCAAACTCAAGGACCTAAATCTCATGCATGGTGCAATACCCACGTCCAAGATGCCATTTTTATGAGTCTACATCTCCAATAAATCAGAAACATGAAACATCTAAGCTTATGGAGGCCATTTGCACAAAAGTCTCCACCTTTGGGACTTAAACCCTAGAAAATGACATCTAAAGCATACAACAAGAACCAAGTGTCAAGATCCGAAATTTTTACCTGAAATTGAAGCTTTAACCCTTGCAAAGCTCAGATCTACACTTGAGCACCACTTCTAGCCTCTCCAACAAGCTTTTCTTCTCCTTTGCAACCTTAAAATGGCACTACCAAGCTTAGAATGCACACACAAAGGCTTAAGGACGATGGCACACACTATTTAGGGTTTCACTCTGAGGGGTGGTGGCTGAAAAGTCCAGCCACACATTCCTTTTATAGCCTCAACAAATGAAATTAGGGTTTGGGTCTGAATGAGTTACGCCGGGCGTAACCTTGGGTACGCCCCGCGTACCTGAGGGGGAACGCGTCCAAATGAGGCGCGCGAGTACGCGCAGCGTACTCGCCTACCATGAAAACCCTAAATCATTAACTTAATCAAGATGCAAGTCCAACAGAAGAATACCTGGATTTCGGGATGTTACAATTCTCACCCACTAGAATCAGACTTCGCCCCCGAAGTCTCATACTGAAAACAACTCCGGATACTGATCCCGCATCTCAGACTCGGATTCCCATGTCAGCTCGGACCCCTTCCGATGTCGCCACTGCACTTGTACCAGGGGTACTTCCTTGTTTCTCAGAACCTTAACTTTTCGATCCCTAATCGCTACCGGTCTCTCCACATAGTTCAGACCTGCATACACCTGAATATCATCCAATGGCACCACTGCCGACTCATCGATAATACATTTCCTCAACTGTGAGACATGAAAAGTATCATGGATCTACCCCAACTCAGCAAGTAGATCCAACCGGTAGGCTACCCGGCCTAGCCTAGCAATTACCCTGTAGGGTCCAATATACTGGGGCCCCAACTTGCCCCTCTTCCTGAACTGAATCACTCCCTTCCAAGGAGAGACCTTTAGGAGCACAAGGTCACCTACTTGAAACTCGAGCTCGGACCGCCGCCTGTCCGCATAACTCTTCTGGCGACTCTGCGCGGTCAACAACCTCTGCCTGACCTGCTGAATCTACTCGGTCGTCTGGAGTACGATCTCCATGCTACCCATCACCTGCTGCCCCACCTCTCCCCAACAGATGGGGGTACGACACCTCCGCCCATACAACAGCTCAAAGGGTGGCATACCAATGCTCGAATGATAGCTGTTGTTATACGAAAACTTTGCTAAAGGTAGATAGGTGTCCCAGCTCCCTCCGAAATCCAAAACACATGCTCGGAGCATATCCTCAAGCGTCTGAAAACGTTCGCTCGCTTTGTCCGTCCGTCTGCGGGTGGTATGCGGTACTGAAATGCAGTCTCGTACCCAACTCCTCATGAAACTTCTTCCAAAACTTGGAAGTAAAACCCACATCGCGGTCTGAAACAATCGACATCGGAACCCCATGCTGCGATACCACCTCCCTCACGTATAATTCCGCCAACTTCTCTGCAGAAGAGCTCTCGCTGATGGCTAGAAAATGAGCGCTCTTCGTCAATATATCCACGATCACCCAAATCGCATCGACTCCCCTCGCAGTCCGCGGCAATTTGGTGATAAAATCCATGGTAATCTGTTCCCACTTCCATTCGGGAATATCTAGCGGCTGCAGTTTACCGTGCGGTCGCTGGTGCTCGGCCTTAACCTGCCGACAAGTCAAGCATCTCTCAACAAACCATGCAACATCCCTTTTCATACAGGGCCACCAATACTCCTTCCTTAGATCCAAATACATTTTCGTAGCCCCGGGATGAATCGAGAATTTCGATCGATGCGCTTCCTCCATCAAAATAGCACGCGCACCGCCCACAAACGGTACCCAAATCCGACCCTGAAAAGTCATAAGC